TTTCTGACTATTTATTTTATTTTTAAGAAAAAACAAATATAAAAGTGGTGCAAACTAATATACTCTTATCTTTGTTTCATTATTCATCAGTATCTTAAGTTTATTCTATAATTAAAATCGAGGACATCATAGGAAGTGTTATTTACTTTTCAAAATGCAGACAATAGAAACAGAGGAGTAAACCAGTTAGTATGCAGTTTTTCGTGATATAAGCAGCTGATAATAAAAAAAGTCGCCTACAGCTTAAAATAGTTAATTGTTTAAATGTTTAAAGTATACCAAGGAAAATAGCACAATAATATTATTTTATAATAATAATTATCAGTTCTGTCTTAACATTAAACTGAACTCGTAATGTTTAATTTTAGTAGTAGTTCCAAATCTAGCATAGTTATTGTGCTGACTAAACTCTCTTGTACTACTGCCTTCGTACTTTTCCTTTCTCTTTTCGCATTTTCACAATGATAAACATGACAAAACGAACAATTTTGCGTGGAAAAAAGGAATTACAATTAATATGAAACAGTCTGATGCGAATTTCACGAGTGTGATAATGTCATAAACAAATTTGTTAAAATATTGTTTATTGTTATTTTGATTGATGACGAGGAAATAACTCTTGCCATAGTTCAACCAATCTGTCTAATAATATTTATTAGAACGGGGTTTAAAATCCATGCTACTCTTATTATTTTTTGACCATGACAATGTTTCACGTCAAGTCTGACTATTTCTAAATGTTCATTTCAAATATGTAAGAACACAGACCATCAATCATTGTTTTCATTTCAAATAACTGTTTGTGAACGAATAGTCCCGTTACACTATCGTTCTGCTTCGAGCTACAAGAAAGTTTTCTACAACTAGAAAGTATCATAAAGCACGACGCATCGGATTTTTATTATGGGTTTAGTTTACAGAATAGACAAGTTTGATTTCGTTTGTTGTTATTTATTTTATTAAATATAAATATTATAATAACTATCTAAATTTAAAGCTATTACTATAGGACAAAAACGAGAAAAATGTAAGTAGATTTCATTAAATTTGGGTAACCAACACTTTTTGTTTCTTATTTTCACCGGTCAAGATGATCTACCTATATTTTCGGTATAAATCGCAGAGTTCTATCTGAGATTGTTCTTGAGTGTTCACTTCTCTCATAGATCACAGCAGATTCATGATGTACTAATATCAATTATCATAGCCTAAGTCCATATTATTGTATAGATAATCAAACGTGCAATAATTAAAAGAGACTTTAATCTGAAAAATAAATAAAACAACATTTCATATTTTCTAGTCAGAAACTACGAATGAATCATAATTCATCAGTCTATGGTTTAGTCTAGCATAAGGAAAAGTTGGTTCTGCGCCACATAAGAGCCGATTTGACGAGGATGACAGAATTTTTTATGAGGAGAGAGTTTTAGGAAACGTCAACATATGATTTTTCTTCACTAGTAAGAAACTAAGAAAACTCGTCATCTTTAATACTTATGAAATTAACGACTAGCATCAAAGCTGTGAATGAAAAGGCTACAGTTCCAATCAACGGTCAAACGCTACAAGAAGATTTTTCTACTGTTTTTCCATCGATTACTGAGAAGTGTAAAAGACACGTTTTGTTCAAAACTTTCGAAAACACTGGAAGGTATAGCCAATGAATATCATTTTACCTCATAAGTCTGACGAGGGTACATTCTCAAGTGTCACTTTGGGATTCTGGCGAAACATATCATCAGTAGTAAAGTGAACTATGGTAATCACGAAAAGAGAATTTAAAATACTTGCGAAATAAAAGCGGATTCTCTGTTGACTGGTATATTAAAAATTTGATGATATTTTCCTTTCTGAGATATCGAATCAAAAAACAATGTTACATAGTAGAAAGACATATATTTAATAAATATGTATATTTCTCAAAGGGCATAAGTCACATTATTATTCTAAATATATCAAGTTGTAGCTGAAGGATGTCTCTACAAAATTGAATATTTGACGAACTTCTCTGATGTAAAGTATTATATAACATGATCGATGGAAAATTGAGAATTTTATAACCAAAAAAATTAAAATGGCTCTAACTCAGCAACCATCTAACTAACGGTGCCAGTTAAAAACATTATATTCGTGATCATCACAGTTTATTTTACTAATGACGATATATTTTGCCAAAATCCCAAAGTGACAGTTGAGGATATTTCCGTGTAAATATAAATAATCAAAAACAAATTAAATCGATAAACAAATCATCTTAATTAGTTGGTAAAAAAAGAAGAAACATAGTTAAATAAAAATCACGAAAAACATTTGTGTTTACAAAAATGAATAAATTCTATTTTCAACATAGAAAACAATTATTTATCATCCGACGGTAAATTTTCAATTGGAATTGGTTCAATACAATCAGCCATTTTAAACTTAAAAATTTTTGAATAAAAATAAAATTCACCATCAAGACTACGTTCAATATTTTCAGATTTTCTAAAACCGTGTTGTTCACCTTCAAATGTAACATAAGCAACAGGTAAATGTTTTTGTTTTAATGCATCAACCATTAATTGTGCTTGTGATGGTAAAACAATTTTATCTTCAAGACCTTGAAAAAATATAATAGGTTTTGATAATTGTTGTACATGATTAATTGGTGAACGTTGAATATATAAATCTTTACATTCCGGATAAGGACCAATAATTGAATCTAAATATCTTGATTCAAACTTATGTGTATCTTTAGCTAATAATTCCAAATCACTAACACCATAATGTGAGGCACCACTTGAAAATGTATCATAAAATGTTAGAGCACACAATGTTGTATATCCTCCAGCTGATCCACCATCAATAACTAAACGATTTTTATCTACTAAATTTTGTTCAACAAGATATTTTGCTCCATTAATACAATCTAATACATCATAAATACCCCAATTATTTTTTAATTTTTCTCGATATTCTCGTCCAAATCCTGTTGATCCACGATAATTTACATCTAATACGGCAAAACCTCGACTAGTCCAATATTGAATTTTTAAATTAAATGCAGATGTTGTACTTGCTGTAGGACCACCATGAGATCGAACGAGTAACAATGGTAATTCATTTTTATCATTTGTTTGATAATCATCATTTTTTGGTGGATAATAAAAACCATAAGCAATTTCTTTTTGAGTATTATTTGGAATTGTTGTGGGAAATGATATGGCTTTCGGTATTGATAAATAAGCTTTATCAATTGTTATATTTGATGATTGACGTAATACATTTATTTTTAATGATGTTAAATCAAATTCAACAATTTCGCTTGGCTTTGTTGCTGATGCACCAACAAAATAAACCATATTATTATTATTTCGTATAGAAACACTTTTAATATCTGTATATGAATCTAAAGAATATGTTGACATTTTTTTTGTTTGAACATCAATTGTCGATAGAAAACTTCCACCATTGTTTGCATAGGTAGCAACAATATTTTCATTTGATGAAAATCCATAAAAGGTTGATCGAAATTGCCACTGTGGACCGCCAAATTCCGCTTCCATTGTATAAACTTCTTCAATATTCGAACTTTGATCAATGTTTAAACGATACAAATTCCACCATCCATTACGATCACTAATAAAATAAAGATATTTATTATCTGGAGACCATTCTGGTTGACATACTGATTCATTTGAATTACCAACTAATTTTTGTTTATCTAACACTTTTCCATTATCGTCTAATTTAGCTAACCACAATTCTGTATTATCCCAAGGCATATTTGGATGATTCCAACATGACCATACCAAATATTTACCATCATTACTCAATCTTGGTGATGAATAAAAATCATAACCATCAACAAGAACATCTTCTTTACCATCATTTAATCCGATACTAACAAGTGTATTGACTACTTGACTGCTGTCTTTAGCATTTGTATGATCTTCACGTACACAATATAAACGCTGACGTTTTTGATCAACAATAAAATCGGCATAGCGCATTAATTTTTCTGTGTCTAATGTTAATGGTGTGGGCAGATTCGTTTCCTTTAGATGATACAAACGTTGATCAGCAAAATTTGAAAAATAAATCGATTCATTATGAACAATATAACTTCCTCCACCATACTCATGAACTTTTGTGCGACTGTTAAATGATTTTGGTATTACATCTTCAATTGTACCATTTGAACGAGAATAGCGAACAATTGCATAACGACCTGATTCAGACGGACGAAGTTCCAGCCAATAAACATCGTTATTTTTACTATTTGCTAGATCAAATGAAATTTCGCTAAACGCAATTGTATTTTCAGCTATTAAACGAGATTTTATTGGAGATTCCCAGGTTCCATAAGATGACGAACGCCGTGATGGATTTTGAGACATTATTGATGTCAGGTATGAACTAAAACAAAAATATTTTATTGGAGTTATATTAAAAGGAGGTTCGTCAAAATACAAAAGTTTCTGCAATTCTATCGCTCGATCTCACTAGATATCGATCCTCTAGATTAATGTTTGAGAAGCAAATTTTGTTGTATTTTACCAAGTGCTGTTACTCTTACTCACATTACATATTCACTAACAAAAGATTTCTGGTGTGCGCTAGTTTTATTCTTTTCGTAATTAAACGGTGCAGTGTACTATGTGAATTCATTCTCTTCCTGTTATGACACAAAATTTTATATAAAGAGAAAAATTAGGACATGCAAGAAACAACTGCTTGATTCCATCTCCGTGAGAATTACAAATCGTCAGCTCAACTCTATCCTGTCCTAGAGTATGGATATTCTGCATGTCTGATTGTGTGCTAATATATCTGAAACTTTGTGATAACCCAGAACAAAAATTTTTGCTGATTTGAAGTTCTAGCGTCTGTGTAATATATATACAAGGCAAAGAAAAATTTCATATAAGTTCATCTTCCACATTATGAAAAGATTTTATTATAAACTTTCTTTCGAGCGTTTGCATTCTATGTCCTCGCTATCATAACTCAGCTTTTTCTCAAGTGCTCCACTCTAAAGTCGGATCTTCTTTTTCGAATAATTTAGCTTCAAACAAAATTCATTATAAAAATCAAAACCAACCGTTGCTCATTTAGGAATTGTCGTTCTTTTAAAAGCTTATATGCAGTGAAAGAAACTGTTCTAAAGATTTTGATCATTTTGCTTAGTTCTACCTCCTCGTAATGGTGCAAGTTTGTTCGTCAACCGCAGTCGTTGTTCGCAGCAAAAACAATACTTCGTCCAAACAATAATAAACAATAATCAACAAAGAAGAAATACCAAATAACATTTTTTCGATGAACACAACATCATAAGTATGTTATTGGTTCACGGTACGAGTGAAAAACCAAAGGCTAACTCTAGGTCTAGCTTGCGAAGATAAACTTAACGGCTGCTGTCTATCACATTGATCTTAACAAAAGTGCATCTATAGGCGACGTTTACTCACCCTAGATTCTGTCTTCTCTCTCTCTCTCGTTCTAATAAATTCTGAATCCACTAAAATCTGTTTAATTCTTTTTTAGGTGTCCAAACAAAAGAGGCCGAGAAAAATGCTTCTCTGTGGTTAATATAGAGGACATAGACTTATTTATGATTTGATTATATTTCATCAATCGAAACGAAACGAAAAGCATTTGAGCATTATCACACCATTGCGTTGTTTCCTTGTAGCTGCAAATAGTAGATCCAAGGAGAGACTATCTACGTCAGTTCGCATTGATCCTGGGAGCCGTATCACAAAAAAACTTAAGTCATCGACTAAAGCCGTGATGTAAAGCGTATGACGAAAAGAATTATGTTGGTGGTTTGTTTATTTTTTGAAAGTCGTTGACAACAGTGATAAACTTCGGACAAAAACTCGCAAAATAACGAAATATTTATTCTCATTCTCCAAATCTTCCGAAAACGTTTTGTCGAATTCTATCATCAAATACCAGAGTTATTCGACAAATGCGTCGATGACTTAAGTTTTCAGCCTTAACTCAAAGACTATTTCCCATGACTTAAGTCACCGTTTGACTTAAGATATTTTGTAAACAGTTTTTGCAGTAAAATCGACAAAATACTCTAAAATAACTTCTCTAAAATACCATTTAATTATATAATCCGTTTGCATATTTTATGGTAGAAAAATATTTATCATAGATTCAATATCTCTTTGTATTGGAAGAGTCACGCAAATTATTCGTTAAAGGAATTAAGTATATAGAATTGCTGCACTGAACAAAAACAAATAATAAATTGTTTGCATCAAGTAGATTAAAGAAGAAAAAAAGAAAAAAAACGTCGAGTTTTATTTCAAAAAAACAATAACTTGCTTTCTCATTATTTAACAAATGGAATATATTATTGACATTCAAAAACGTTTTCAGTCAAACGTGTTAAATGTGGTAAATGATAAGCCTAGTTTAAATATCTGTAAACTAAACTAAATGAATGACGGTGATAATTGTGGTACGTCTTTATTATTGATTGGAATCTTTTCGAAACTGTGCGACGTTAAGGAAATTACTCCACTCTCAAGATTTCCCAAAAATCAATGTCAGATTCTTAACAAAACTGTTAATTCAGTTTTCCGAAAGATTAACTTTCTTTCTTTTTAGAATGTGTTTAGCCTATGGTATCCGTTAGGAAAATCAAAAACATTTTTTCGCTGTTCTCAAGTTTTATCTAAAGATAAAAGACTGTTTATGGATATTTAATAGCAGGACGTTGTGTAAACTCATATTATTTATTTATTTAGCACAAATTATTTGTTTATTACAAAATTTTAAAATTTTCCTATCTTGCTTTATACGCACAGTGTAAGTGTAACGTCAACATTTCTCTATCTACATTATATATGATTAAATTTTCTCTGATGATGAGTCGGTGACTCGAAACATTTGAATAATATATTTTTAAAATTTTGTAATAAACAAATAATTTGTACTGAATAAATAAATAGTATGAGAGACTGTTTAGGTTAGAAAGGTGGTGGTTTAGATTTTTCTAATAGATTGGTTAATGATGTGCAACTTTTTCTCCGTTACTCGTCTCGTCTTCACAATTCTTTTTATCCCCAGAAAAGAATTTATAAGTATAGTCATTGATGCTTGTTGTTTCAGTAATCTGCTATTTTAAGTATGGTAATCTCTAAATATATACAAAAAAGCTACTTTTATATATTATTTATATCATTATATGAAATTTTCACTCTGTTACAAAAAAAGCACTTTTCATATTTTATTTGTCATCATTGCTGTGAAAGTTTGATGACGTTAAAAAGCAGAATGCTTTTATTACACAGGAATTTCCTGTTTAACTGCATATGTAGGTGTGTAAGAAGGGTAGAAATATCGGGCGGGAGAAAAGTCCTATTAAAGAAGAAATAATGAGATATACACATCCTTTATCTGGACACTAAGCCACCAGTTTGAGCTGCCAAAAGCTCATTTCAACAGTTTAACCAATACATTTATTGGAAATTATAGTGATTACCGTTTTGTAGTCAATGATAAACTTTTGAAAGCTAGAAGCAAAAAGTAAGGAATTAACAAAATTACACGATGGGAAAGAAACAATAACTAAACGTGTCTGATCTGCAATTTCATGGTCCTGTAGACGATTTGATTGGCAATTTTCAACTGCAACTCAAAGAATTTTAGTCACCTCTGAGCGATGGTATCAATGGTTAGACAAGCAGAAGTTCTGAAAGATCTTCTCCAACCTCACTTGTACCTATTTCTGCCACTGTCATTTTTAAAAAGGTAATTTATTACTTTGAAAAGGAGAAAAAACGGAAAAAGATGTGAAAATTAGGGTAGGGTTTCTAGAAAATCTTTCAGAAACCAAGTATTGTGTAATACTGGGAGGCACCAACTACTTCAGTTTGTTCAGCTTTGAATTTTCTATCAAGTGGCGCTAGTCCGAGGTCTCCATCACTTACCAGAGCTGAGATATTTAAAATTTAAAAATTTAAATTTTGATAGGAGAGAGACTCGAGTTTTTTTTGGAATGTAGCCTATTTTCTTTTGAATTCAGGCATGTAATTAGAAATGTTCCACCGTCAACCAATATTTTTAAAAATAAAATTTTCGTCGGCCAGTAGGTGCAGAAATTATGGTTTTCCGGAAAACCTACTTTGAGAATTTTCAGAAAAACTAAATGAGTCAAAAGAAAGAGCGTAGTTTCAAACCCTCAAGTACCAGAGGGCTTGTCCAAGCGTGACGCTGTGACATTTTGGACACAGTAAATTGAGCTTTTCTCAAAAACTGTATGAGCTAGAAACTTCATTCTTGCGTCATTCGACGCAGCTCGCCATACTCTACTTTCGATATAAAAACGAAGGTATTTGGTTAAAGACTCGAATTTTTAGAACCGTTTGTCGGTGCGTGACGCTGTGACAAAAAAAGGCCCTAAATTCGAAGTTCTTCTCAGTAAAAGCTAATTTGCTCCGAATTT